TATGAGTGAGCACTATCCCCGTGAGTGAGCAGTCCATTAGAGAGCACTCCGCCCCATGAATGACTCCTGTCCTGATGAGTGAGCACTCCACCTGTGAGTGAGCCCTCCATCCCCCCAGTGAGTTAACACTCTGCCCCTGTGAGTGAGCACTCCCTCTACGAGTACTCTAACCACGAATGAGTACTCCTCCCTTTGAGTGAGCACTCCCACCATGAGTGAGCACTTCACCTGTGCATGAGCACTCTGCCACCCCGTGAGTTAGCACTCTGCCCCGTGACCATTCCACCCCATGAGTGAGCACTCTCCCTATGAGTGTGAGAACTCTGTTAGTGAGCACTCTGCCCCATGTGATTTAGCACTCCCCCATGAGTGAACACTCCCCCCATGAGTGCTCTCCCCTGTGAGTGCCTACTCCACCTGTGAGTGAGCACTCCAGTTCCCATGAGTGAGCACTCCACCTGTGAGTGAGCACTCCAACCCCGATGAGTTAGCACTCCCCCGAGTACTCCCAACCATGAGTGAGCACTCTGTACCCGTGAGTGAGCACTCCACCCTGTGACTGACCACTCCCCCCACAGTGAGTGAACCCTCTCCCTGGAAGTATGAGACTTACACACCTGTGAGCACCCCGCCCCATTTGAGTGAGCACTCCCCGTGAGTGAGCATTGCCCCATGAGTGAGCACTCCCCCTCTGTGAGTGAGCACTCCGCCCCCCGTGACTTTGAGTTTGAGAGAGAACTCCCCCCTGAATGAGCACACCGCCCTGTATGAGTGAGCACTACCCCCGTGAGTGAGCATTCCCTCTTTGCGTATGAGTGAGAAATCCCCATCTGAGAGTGAGCACTCCACCCTGTGTGAATGACCACTACCCCTGTGAGKGAGCACRCCCTCCAYGAGTGAGCACTCCACCTGGGACYGAGCACTTCAACCCCCCGTGAGTTAGCACTCTGCCTCCGTGAGCACTCTTCATTTGAGTGTGAGAGCTCTACCCCTATGAGTGAGCACTCCATACCATCTGAGTGAGMACTACCCTGTGAGTGAGAACTCCCCCATGAGTATTCTACCTCTGAGTGAGCACTCCGACCTCCCTGAGTTAGCAATCTACCTTCGTGAGTGAGCACTCCCCCTCATGAGTGAGCACTTCCTCCATAAGCACTCTCCCTCTGAGTGTGAGTGAAAACCCTTGCATGAGTGAGCACTCCCCCTGTGAGTGAGCATTGCCCCCATTAGTGAGCACTCCCCCATGAGTGAGCACTCCGATGAGTGAGCACTACTACTTGTGAGTGAGCACTCCACCCCGCCATGTGTTAGCACTCTGCCCCCATGAGTGAGCACTCCCCCCATGAATGAGCACTCCTCCTGTGAGTATTCCTCTCTTTTTGGGTGAGCACTCTGTACCGCACAAGTGATCACTCCCCTCGTGAGTGAGTATTCTACCCATGAGTGAGCACGCCCCCTCGTGAGTGAGCACTGCACCTCCGTGAGCACTCCCTCTGAAAGTGTAAGAGCTCCCCTCGTGAGCACTCCGCCCCGTGTGATTTAGCACTATCCTCATGAGTGAGCACTCCACCTGTGAGAGTGAGAATTCCCCCATGAGTTAGCACCCCCCCCCGTGATTGAGCACTCCCCCTCTGTGAGTGAGCACTCCGCCCCCCCATGAGTTTGCGTTGTCCCATGAGTGAGCACTCCCACCCGCACAACTGATCACCCTGCCCATGAGTGAGCATTCCACCCGTGAGTGAGCACTCTGCCCTGTGTGAGTGAGCCCTACCCCCCAGAGTGAGCGCTACCCCATGAGGGAGCACTCCCCTGTTAGTACTCCCCCTGTGAATGAGCACTCCACTCCATGTGAGTTAGCACTACTCCTGTGAGCAAGCACTCCCCCATTAGAGAGCACTCCCCACCATGACTACTCCTCCCATGCGTGAGCACTGCACCTGTGAGCACTCCCCCCCTGTGAGTTGGCACTCTGCCCCCGTGAGTGAGCACTCCCCCCATGAGCACTTCCCCCTGTGAGAACTCCCTCCTGTGAGTGTTCACTCCACCCCATGAGTGAGCATTCCATCTGTGAGTGATCACGCCCCGTTGTGGAATTGAAAATTCCCTTGGGATTCAGTGTATATTGGATACCCATTGTAATAAGGATATACAGTAAACAATGGATGTCCACTATAAACGTAAACCCATTCTATAGTATTGTGACTCTACGTGGCGGCACTTTAGTGCAAAGTCGGGTCCTGTATTTATTGCAAAACCGAACTACTGCAGGTAACCTTCACACAAACTGTTCCCAAAGCAACTGAACTCACTTTGGAACATACAAACCCAATGAATTTAACCTAAGAAGTCAGTGGACACAATACAGGTAATTAAAAGTGAACGAGTCAGGTCAACATGTTCTGTAGGGAAAAACTAGAGATTTTCTAGTAGGGAAAAACTAGAGATAGAAAAACCTATACCCATGAAAAGCTTCACGAAGGCGCTTTTGCAGAAACACAGTAAATCCAATCCTCCAGGCAAAGACACAACACAAATGGAGTTCACCAAAGGAGAGAAAGCCCAGGATGCCTCCCTTTCATCATTAAAATTCCTCCATTCCAGCAGATGAACCAAGTTACAGCTACAAATACCTTCTCTGTATGTGAACTGAATCCTAACGTTTGCCTGATTTATTCTCCCTTTATCTCTGCACAGACAACAGCACTCATGTTTGCATTGCTTCTCCATTATCAGATTGCAAGAGAAGCTGCTAACAGACTTTGAACATAAATAATACACTTTCAATCTTGACAGGTTTTCTTTGGCCTGCCCTCAAGGCTTTAGGTTTCTGATTCAGGACAAAGAATGAGTCTTGATGACTCAAKAGGGTCAAATCTACTGCCTCTGTACTGTGTCTCTATGAATATAGGACGAATGCTGAATTTTAAACTTATTTTATCCTGCTTCTCTCTTAACACTAGAACAACTTACTCCCAAAATTAAAACTGTACTTTTTTTTTTTCTCAGAAATCAAAATTCCTTAGAGTGGAAACATGTTAAGGCTGATTTACTTATTTCAAAAGCACTTTTTCTATCTGTTGCAAAACTTAGCTTTCACAAAAGGCTGATGAAATGGCTGATCAACCCGGCAATGCACTATGGATTCAAGCTTATTATCTCCGAACCAGTGAGACTGCAAGCGCTGACGACTGCAATTCATCAAACAGTGCAGTGTGATCGTACAGCTGTGGCGAGGGCAGGCTCCACGATAGGGCCCCAAGAAGACCAACCTAGTCCAGAAGAAAGCATTATAACAACAGGCATTGTCTATTTCTAAAAAACAAACAAACAAAAAAAACCCCAAAGATAAAATTGCAAGATAAACTGCTGATCCCAGCTGTCTTTTTCACCCTTATTTACAGAAATAATTAAGAAATTAAGACATTTGTTTTCTTGCAGCCATCGAAATATTTGTGTATTAAAAGAATCCAGTGTTTTATTTTTAATAATGTACTTAAATATGCAACCAAACTGCTGCCAAAACTGTCATCCAATTATTTAAAAAGAGTCGTAACACCTTATCCAAATCTGTTTATTGACAAGAAGGTTTCAAGCTCATCTGTGATCATCAGTCTAGAATACACATTTCAAAAGCATATTTGTACATCAAAGACAGGTACAGTAAAACATTACATTAGCAAGGTCATAAGTTAACATCTTGATTTGGTTAATCATCAAGATTCAGATGTATGGGAAAGTCCTGGGTATATCCTGATATTCCATGGGACCTCTGGTCAGTGGGGGAGAAGGAAGCTTTTGTCTCACAAGGTTTCTGTTTGGGAGGACCATACTAGGAGATCAGAACTTAGCCTAAGCTCAGGTTCACAAGGTRATTCAACTAGTCTTAGCTCAAGTAAAACCAACAGCAATTTTTCATTGCTCTGTAGGATGGATCATAGAGCTACCATCCGACCTACTCTATTTCTTTATCACCTCAAAACTGTTACTGCCTCTCCTGTATTTACATTTGCCTGCATCACACTCCTGAACTCCTACGTCTTGTCCTATGCATCCAGGTAGAAGCTGCTGTGTTTATCTTACTTCAGCTCTTGGTAAATTCTGAATTGTTTTTGTTTGTTTACACGATGCTGCTCTCATTCCCTCACTTATAAAGTAACATGGAGGCCCATCTCCAATGAACTATTTGATGTTTGAAAGAGACTTCTATTTTCTTCTGCTGACAAGATTGCCACCATTTTCCTAGTGAGTTACTCACCTACTTCCCCACCAGCCACTACCAGACTGCCCTGTGGTGTGTGAAACGCTACAGCCTCTCCCACGGCACCAGGAACCAGCGTGCCATATCACCCTGGAAGCACCCCAGGATCCCTCAAGGGTAGCCAAGGAATTTCAGACAAGGCTCTCAACACTTCCGATCAAGATCTGCAGGAAGATCCATGCCCAGGCTGGCCTGGCTTCAGCTCATCCCAGACGGCTCTGCCACCTCCTGCCCCTTCTCGTGAACGATGTTGTTTTGAGCACAGGGGCTACAAGCTCCCTGCGATACTGTTCTTCTCTACATCTCACAGCAGAGACACAGACAGACACACATACGGGACTTACACTTGGACAGCCTTTATATAAGGGCCTCAAAAACAACATAATAATGAAAATACATGTTTTAAGCTGCAGCTCATTGCAGGGGGCTGTTAGTAGTAGYGCCTCTTCCTGCCACAGTTTCATCTCTGCAGACTTTCTAACATTCATTTACTGACCCACACTGCCTCTGACCTATCTTTGCTTAGCCCAGCCTTGTCCCACCAATGTCCATCTAATTAGGGACAATGTGGGCTTCTACCCATCTGTTCATTAGCTTCCACTGTAAGACAAACCAAGCCACTTTGATAATGATAAGGGCTTTTAACCACAAGCCAGAACCTAAAAGTCTGAATTTCTAAAAAATGTTKAGACACTGTAAAGTACAGTCTGAGAAGTAGCATCTAACCCAACGTTTCTTATAATGACTTGGGGTAGCAGTTGACCCAGAAAGGATGGTGACAGACTAGAAGTCATATAACCCAACAGTGTTTACCACCCTTTGCTACCAGGATGCTTAAACTGCAGCTGTGTTATCCCAACCTCTGGAGTAACAGCTCATGACACCCAGGGCCCAGGATAAACCAAGCAGAGCATGCCATAACTTGCCTCAAATGACAGAAAGGCACATCTGAGCATGGTGCAGCCCTTCAGATCGCTTGCCACACTGGCAGCTCCAAGTCTTTCGAAGCCAAATCATGAGCTAAAGTGATCATTGCCATGGTACTTTTATGAATAATCCCTAGCATGGACTGCAGTGGAAACATAACCTGAGGGAGCTGCCAATACGTAGTTGGAGCAAACACTGATGAACACAGCAACTTCCCCCTACGGCTACGTATCCCCTACACTAGGACCTCTTCTCCTCTCCGCTGGTCCCCTGTACAATTCTACTCCCCAGGCTTGCACTTCTGCTCAAACCAGTTCTGCTGCTTAGATGTCTACACAGCAGCTTGGGGAAAAGCCAAGGAGGACTGAAGAGCTCTTCAAATTACCTCTTCAATTAACGTAATGGATGGCATTAAACACATGCCCTTCCCTCCTCCCCCAGTCACCACACACCAAACGACTCCCAGGATGTGCATTCCCATAGCCACAAGAATTCACCTAGATGGCTAAAACTAACACTGAAGTTAAGGGAGAACGTGTGTACCGAGTCAGGGGGCTTTGAACAAGTGCTCCTGATACATCAGCAAGGAGGCAGGACACCAAGGTGACCATTCATAGTAGCTGCAGGCAGCTTTCTACTTTTCACCAGATTCACACAGACAGACACCAAGAGCTAAGATGGAGTAACAGGAAAGAACAGGGAATTAATTTGTATTAAGGCTACTCTAGTTTATTCACAGCACATACAGACCAGTCTGAATAAAACAGGAGTGGAGTTTCAACCTATACCAAGGGGTGACCTATTTCAAGTGCAGACATCTCCTTACAGGAACGGCAGATCAAAGCGTAATCAAAAAACAGGTATAAAGCAACACTTGATCATAACTTGAGTTCATTTTGTCATGAAGACAAGCCCTTAAACATTTAGTTCTGATTTAAATCACAAGTTTTATAGACAGTTCAAAGTATTCCCCCATGAATGACTTAGTTTAAAATAGAATAGGTTTTACCAGTAAGTTACACAAACCCAAGTAATTTTATTTTTCAAAACCATACTTTATTTTTAAAGGCGTCTAGAAGTATTCAGAACTATATTTCTTAAGCAAAAAAGATTCACATTTCATTCTGCAGGGTTATCAGTATGACAAAAAAAGCATTTGGGGATTTATTTTCTGCTCTTCTTGCTGATTTCCTATATCAATCCAGATTGAATTAGGAACAGTAACATCAGTTATGACTTAAGATACAGAATTACAAGGGAGCGACATAAATGTTGGGCCTTAAGTGGCAAACAACTAATTATAATTTCTCCATAGAAGGAGAATGTGTAATGTTACAGCTAAGATGAACAGAAGCAACAACTGTCTTTATTGGTAGTCAAACCCACTGAACACCATCAGCACAGACTTGCTCTTTCAAGGCTATCCGTGCCGTTCATTCACTAATACCAGAACTATGTTTATCCACTCCTATTCCTTCACCTTTTTATCTGTATGATAATGAAGTACAAAACCAGGACAACAGCCTTTTTTCTTTTTCTTTTCTTTTTTTTTTTTTTTCTTTTTTTTTTTTTAAAGAAAAGGATACAAAGAAGATGGAAGACTATAGCATGCAATAAAGGAAGAGTGATCATCTCTAAACAGACATCAGGATTAAGAGAAAAAAAAACACAAAAGAAGAAACCCCACAACTTTGGCCAAGGAATTTTGCCTGTAAGCATATTAAGGACTCAAAATACATGAAGGAACCAGAGCTGCAATTTTGTTGGGTGCTCTCCCCTTAACCAATTTAGAACTCTGCATTTATATATTCTGGATGGCTTGCATCAACGGGATAGAGGTAGTGATAGGAACAAGATTCCCTTCCCTAAAATTTCCAATCAGATGAAGGCTGTTAAGCACAACCCCAAGGAAAGGTGGGTGCAACCAGTTCAGGACCTGCTAACTGGGAACGGATAAGAGCGCAAGTACAGGCTCTAAGCTGCTCTCCTGTACCCAGCTTGATAAATAACGTGTTACATAAAGGTGCTGGACAAGAACTGAGCAAGCAAAACTTCTGTGGCATCTGCAATATGTATTTCATGCCAGGTTGTGCAAAGGATTAGACTACACCTTTGCTGCACAGCTGTGGTAATCAATATGAATTATCTGCAGTACTGCCAGAAGTTCCAGTGTATAAGTAGCGAGCACGGTTATATATTTTTTTTTTTAATAGCTATATAAAGTCAATCACCCATTTAAAAAAATAAGGACTTGTATTTGCAGACAACTCCTTTATCCAGTTAATTCTTCACACTTGTCTCACCTTTGCCATCTATAAGCTCAACCAATCTGTCCTATGTGGGTAAGACAGACTTCAACTGTTAAAGTTGCTTCCCCTTTGCTCAATGAGAATTCAGAAAAAAAAAAAGCAGTAAGAGGTTTTATCATACACTCCAAGACTAYTACAACCTCTTACAAGAGTCTTCATTCAATCATTCAAAGGAAACTGTCTTTAATACTTATAACAAAAGTTTGCAAACTCTTAGGCAAAGGTGGATGGTTGAAAGTGTCTGTTTTCGAATATAATTTCGGTACTATAAACCAATCATTAGAAGTTCAACACATGAGGCTAGAGAGCAATTCTCTTTAGAGCACCCCAGTTCTCATCAAAAGGATCAGAGGTAAAATGGTTTGTTTTATTGCAACACTGGTTAGCCAAATCAATCCTTCCCGTTCCGATATGATTTTTATGAACCAGGGGTTTTACGGTTTACTGCCAAATTTGGCAGACAATTTACTGATGAGATTCATGACCTTCGGGTTATTCTGGTACTTGGACATATTTGCCGGGTTCTGGGCAACATCTTGGAATGCAACCATAACTTCTGGATCCTGCAGGCAAACAAACAAACAAACAAGGCATTTATAAGGCAAATTTATGAAAGTTAGTGGTCGTGGAATTCTAACATGAGTTTAATCTTGCTCAAATGTTAACATGTCAAGACTAGACAACAAGTTTAGATAACAGGTCTCTAAAGAAATCCAGCAACATAGTGCAATGCTGTTAACACTTCATCAGTAAACACCCACATCATTACTGAGCTTACTACACTGTGTGCGAGAAGGGAGATAGGATGACAATTCATTTTTTCCCCCCCAAAACAGCAGCCAAACTTGTCCACACCTACTGCAGTATAGCCGTTCATTCCAGTGAATTTGAATATTTTCAGGGACAGATCCAGTCTCTCCTAGACTTCTATCCCACCATTCCCAGAGACAAATTCTTTGGAAATATCAAAAAACAACTGCTGTCTTCAGAGCTGTGTGGGCTACAGCAACATTGCTCGGTATCTCTTCCAGGGTCAGTCACAGACAAGAGCTGTTTAACAAGTCTGGTCCCAGACAGGGTTTGGAAGATGTGTCCCCCCCAAAACCCCTGTCACAGTTCCGTCATGTTTTGTACATGTTAGGAGCTGAGAGAGTCACGTCTTATCTGTGGTTAGAGGCAGTTACAAAATTCCCCCACAGATTTGCTCCCCCACAAAGGGGGAATCTGCAGAGTCTATGAAAACAAGAATGCTCAAGCTCAGAAACAAGCACTAGCTTCTTTTTTTTTTCTCCCCTCTTTCGGATTCTTGTGCAAGGAGGAAAAAAAAAAAAAAGAAAGAACAAAACAAAACAAACAAACAAAAACCCCAAAACCCAAAACCTTCCACAGATCCCAACCCCTCAAATTTCCGATTTCAAAACTGGGCATATGACTCCAACAAGTCATTTTTGTTAAAAGTCTGTGTTTCCRCCTACACATGAATTCAGAACACAAAGCAGAATATACTCAGTCATTGKATCACAAAACACACCAAAATTAATGTTAAGCCTTCAATTCCATACTAAATGGTTTGTGGTCTTATGAATGGACTGCAAGTTATTCTGCACTTGTGCATCTTTCCCTGAAAATCCTCAGCCTTAAACTTCATTTATAAATTTTTTGAACTACAAAACAATACACATATAACGAAGATTTCAAACTCATGACAGTACTTTCAGAATTAAATCTGAGATTAAGAYTACTGTAACAGTAAATCTACGGAAAAAACCCAACATAAAACATGAAAATGAGACCATTCTGTAAACAGTATTAGCAAATATTCGGAGTTTTCTAATGCTCCAGGCTTTAGTTGCAGAAAGCTGAAAAATATTTTCAAGGAAAAACAGTTATCACTATTTTATCTATTGTATATGCTTCTGTGGAAGCCTGTATCCAATATGTGACTASATGGCAAGTAAGTAATTCACAGGGTTATCTTTCATGTCACTCCCGTTGAAGAGGATTTATATTTAACCCTTACGGGTTAAATAAATCTCAGTCATCTCCAAAATCCAAACATTGTGCCATATCCACAGCAACAAGACATCTGAAACTTTGCAGAAAGTTTAAGAAAATACTTTTCACCACATGATCTTGCAAGAGACTACAGTGTTCTGAGGTACACACGAGCATGYAATGCAGCTCAAAGGCATTTTGCACGTGCCTGAATCTTAGTGTAAGCTACCCATGTAATTAGTAAAAGTCCTTTTTCTTTTTTTGGATGGTTTGCATGAAAGTCATTATTACAGAAAGTAGCAGCTTAAGTATGGATGTATTTCCAAACACCAGCAAGCATCAAGAAAAGTCATGTACTTTTATATGGAAAGTGTTATATTTTTCACAATTTGAGGGCGTATGAAATAATAAYCCCTGGCTATTCTCTTCAGAAGGGCAGCAAAACTGTATATGCCTCACACCTATTTGATGACCTTGGAACATCATGAAACTCCAGCGTAACTGGAAGAATCCTGAAAAAATTGATAAGACACTTGTATTTGACCATATTACAATGTAAATATAACTACATATTTCAGGGTTTTTTCCATGAAACTGATGCTGTCAGATACATTCCACTGTAAAGTGCTTCAATACTGTTCCTGTTTGAAGCTAGTTATGACACTGAGCAATTAATTCAGCAATTGATCAGGCCCACCAGGGGAGGGAGCTTCTGAAGATGGATTTAGAAAATATCAATTGTGGAAATAATCCAACACTAGTTTTAGGGGGGGTTGGTCAGAAACAACCCCAACACACTCTGTTCTCTAAAGACAAGGGCAATTCTCATGTCAACAGAATTGTAAGATATTGTACTGCAATAATACTAACCATCATTCTTCATTTGTGAATATGCATTCAAAAAAAAAAAAAGCAAGTCAATCAATACTCTGCAGAAGACAACCACCCAGCACACCAAAGAGCTCAAGAGCTCTACTGCTTGCAAGCAGTGTTAAAGGGGAACTGGGGAAGAAGGGGAAGGGATGTTTAATTAAGGTCTGTCAATTTGAAAAACAGCTCGAATTCGTTCCAGACAGTCTGGTGCCACCTACCAGAGAGTTTCACAACACAAATAAGCAAGCACTCCATTACTATCAAAATGGTCACATTTTCCTTCCTTCCCTCAGTTCATGGGTTGTCTTTCCCTTCATTCTCAACCTTTAGCTTTCAGTTTATCAAATCCTCACCTGCATGGCTGCGAGGACCTCAGGGTCACTGAGGATCTCATTAAGACCTGGCATGCCTGCCATTCCTGGCATACCTCCAGGCATAGCCCCTGGAAATCCACCTGCAAATCCAAGACAAAAGGAATTTACAGTGTAAAAAGGCTTAATTCATCTCACCACGAGCTCATGCAGAGCGCACTCCTTTATCACAGCTTCAAAGCTGCAGCCTCCACAAGGCTACAGCTGCTGCACTAAATGGTAAGCAGGGTTTTCAGCTGCTATTTCTCCAGCTCATTTAAATTGCATTTTTAATCCAAGGTGAGGTTTACAACAAGTGTCAAATTCTAGCACCTTGAACAGAGATAGAGTTCCTTTCTGTTTAACTAAAACCAGCTGCAAGGGGTGAACAGCTTGGGGCAAAAGCAGTTTAGTAGTACATCTTAGGCCTGACATTCCCATATATTCAGGCTCTTCGGAAAGAAGGTGAATATTGTTTCCTATCCCACAGGTGTGTTTAGTCTTCAAGAGCACTGGTGCTTGTTTTTAAGCGCAGCAAGGTATGGCGAATCAAGAATATAATTTAAGGCCTCCTTTCCATTAAATTGTACAAGAACAGCTCTCAAACAATATCAAAGTTACAGCTTTTCTATAGGGTGGGCTGCACTATCTCCTTTGATAAACACTTTTGACAGCTTACAGAACTGCACAGATTTCTTAAAATTTCAACCCAAATTTTCCACTCCTATATTATTATTCTTAAGCRGAAACAATTCAAGCCATTCTAGATCATTCAGGAGAAAAGCATTTTTTTCATAGTGCATTACTAAGCAAACATGGCATCTTTGTTTTCTCAGATTTGAGTGAGATTTGAGAAAGCATCTGTAGACAAGCTCTAAACTTCACATCTCTCAGCTTTGAGAAGAAAGGTTATAGACTGTGATGAAATAAAAAATAAAAAATAAAAAATAAAAAATAAAAAATAAAAAATAAAAAATAAAAAATAAAAAATAAAAAATAAAAAATAAAAAATAAAAAATNATAAAAAATAAAAAATAAAAAATAAAAAATAAAAAATAAAAAATAAAAAATAAAAAATAAAAAATAAAAAATAAAAAATAAAAAATAAAAAATAAGGTCACCTCCTTTACGGGAAGACCTCCATCTCAGCTATCAGTGCTTAAAAATTAAATACCTGGAAAGCCTCCTGGAAAGCCACCAAATTGAGCTCCTCCTGCTTGTCGTCTTGCTTCCTCCTCCTGCAGACAAAAGCACATMATTCCAGGAGAAAATAGGATCGCAGCCTTTTTCTACAGAAAGCAGTAGAACTATAGGCTGTTTCTTACTGCTCAGTTGATTTGGGRGAAGAAAGAGACAGCTGAGACCATTCAAGCATGCAGAATATATCAATATAGAAGTGCTTGGCTATATGAAATTACAGCCGGTGATATCTGGGAAAAAATACTAGAGTAATAGCAGATAATTTGAGTGTGTTTTTAACTGAATGAGCTCTACAGTTTGTTAGCCCTAAAAAAATTAAGCCAATTCCCACTGCCCACGCAAATTGTAAAACATATCAGTATGGCACGAACCAGGATAGCAAACTGTGTGAGAATGTGAGGAAAAACAAAGGACTATCCTGTATTTAACACATCCCTACCCCCACACACATAGAGAAACAAGACCTTTAAGCAAAAGCTTTTCTGATACAGTTATACAATAAATGGATGGTTAAAAGTACAGGCTTAGTAGAGACCTAGAATCTGTTTTTGCCATAAAAAAACAGAAGCAGTATAAAACCTCTTCTTCAGATTTCATTGCTGGCAAAGACAGAAATAACTCTTCAAAATTAAATTGATTTTCATAGATGCAATTCATTTTAACCAAAACCGTAGCACTCTCCAGCTGATTAAGACACACTACAAGTCTGTATATTCACCCTTTGCGCTCTCTCATGCTCTTCGCGCGCCTTCTTCACTCTTTCCATTCTCTCCTTGATTTCCTTTTCTTCACGCTTGCGCTCATATTTTCGGCGATGTTCTGCAATCTTCTGAGCCTGTTACAACAAAAGTGACATATCGTGTTCATTTCTAGTATGCTGTACATAACATACTGGATATATGAATCTTAACAATCTGTTTTTAATCAGTTCTTAAAAATAATGTTTATGATCTCACATCTTTAGAATCTCTTGGTTTTTTGCAATTTACCCCCTAGCCCAGAGTAATTTATCACCCAAACACAGGCATTACTTGAGTTCATGAGAACACACACTCTCCCATGCATTTTTCCCTCCCATAGAGCTCAAGGACTTACACCATAATTAGAACTTAAGCATCTTAAACTTCCATACACCTTCCTGTCCATACATTGAAATATTAACTCCTCCAGGGCTAATACTGCTAATGGAACAGGGAAATTTCYATTGGCACAATAATAGGAAAAATAACTTCCCCTCTCCCTTTTCAGATGGGGTTAGTGTTGTTCCAGATGTGCTACAGCACATACAGCTAAGCACAAGAATACCTGAACCAAAGTCAGACAGGGCAGGTGAGGATAAAGTTTGCTTATTATCTTTAGCTTCTTCTCAAAGGTACTGACTTGATAGCCCCAGTGGAGGAGGCTGGTTAGCAGTCATCTCCCTAAGGCTCCTCACTCAGCTCATGCTCTTAACAGAATATGCGCTCTTGAAAGTGGAATCAACCGTTCTATAGTACTCTAAAAAACAGACGACGCTTTCACAAGCTGCTGAGATCTAATGGACAACACTGTAGACGATGGTACAGTGTAGATGTTGGTACAGAGCATGCCTAGAAACCTCTCTGGCACATGGCTACTCTTCTATCTTTTCAGAATATCCTTTAAAAGAAGGAATGATTTTTATAACTAGTAAAATTTTGATATAAAGTTTCTGACCACAAAATGGCTTAATTTAGAGAAATAAGAAAAAGTCTCGAAAAGTTATTTTTTTACAGTGTCTATGTATTTCTCAAGATGAACTAAACATTTCTGGAATTTTTAAGACTTTCATCTGGAAGTGATAAAAATGAGGGAACGCTACAAAAGCTAAGCATTAAGCAAACATATTATTCTTGCTTGTACTGAAGACCACTCATAAAACCTTTCTACCCCTCAAGCTGCATATACTTATTCCCACATAGCTGGCAAGTATATATCAATGTATAAGAGCCACACTCTGCTCCTTCTGTGCAGAGGCAGATCAGCTGGGAAATCAAGAATCAAATAAACCTCATCAAACAAAACTTAACAAAACAGATAAAGTATTTTCAGTATGGAACACTTCATCTGTAAGATGGTTAAACTGTTGTTTTACAGGGAGCATCTTCTACAAAAACATGGTAGGAAATCTGAAACTGTTATATCCAGGAACGTTCATGCAATAGTTGCTAAATAGTCAGTGAACACTTCAATGGAGTATGTTAAAAAGCTTGAGGGAAAAGAAGTCTTAATATTTGTTACACAGAAGTTCTTCCTTAGAAAATGCTGGGAACAAGAACACCACTTAAACAGAAATAGTTTTTCCACAGACTGTGCTGCCCTCACGTGGTGGGCTGCTGAAAGCGTTTACCACAAAGCTTCCTTTGTGCATCCTGCTTGGGAAGAAGCTCTGATACTCAAGTCAGAAACACAGAGGCAGGCGGAGGGAGTCCATTATGTGAGGGCTCTCTTGGTCTTCTCAATGTTTTCAGTCAAGGTTACAAAACACTAGCCTAAYTGCAATCACTTGGGATCTTTCTATTAATATTTAAAAGAGTCTAATACATTATTTCATAGTTTAGTTATATATATACAGCCCCAGAGAACAAATTGCTATAAATCACAGCTGTTTATAGCTAYGTGTAAGACATTAAGTATTTATAAACTCAGTTTGAAATGTCAAGTGACATATGCACACCCCCACATTCCCACAAGACAACATATACTGGTAAAATTTGAAGGCAGCAATGCCTTTCAAACACAAATCAACAAGGAACCTACTTTCTCCCTCCCCACTTACTCTGGGCTGCACCTCCTTCAGCATCGCACTAGCGTCTTCATCATAGTCCAGTTTACAAGCCAAGGCGAGATCATGTGCAGCTTCCTCCCAATGACCCAGAAGTCTGCAAATGAGAAGACACCAACATTCAGAACTGGGTGGGGGAGAAGAGGGAGAAGGAGGCTGAATTCTTGCTATTCTTCAGGGTATTTACAGCCATATATGTATACTGAAACTATATGGCCTTCCTGAAATTCAAGTCTAAGTCAAGTTAATTGCTAAAAATTATGGGATTTTCCCTGTAATCAACAGAGTATGATATTAGAAGATACTTTAGATAGATTAGAGGAWAACGACTTGCTTCTTACCCTTACAGTAACCGCTGCTTCAAGCAAAAGAAAAAATAATCAATCCTAAATCAAACAGTGTCATTCTTACTATAAACAAGCTGTTAAAGAGAAGCCAAAACGCGTGAACTGACAGATACTCTACCACTTAAAATTATATTTTAAAAACAGCAAAATTCCTCTGCTGAAACCTGTTGCTTAAATGTGTTATATAAACACTCCTTGAATGTTTAGTCTACTCACAAGTCTACGCCACTGCTAAACCAAGCCTAGCGAACCCCGTTTACTACAGTTAATACAGTTGGGGGGGGTACACCAGCCTAATTCCATTTTAGGTTAGCACCCTGTGTACTATTACTTGTTCACCTACATACAGTTCCCTAAATACACAGGCAGCTAAGCCTACTGCTCAAGTGCTTTAGGACTCTATGGAAGAAGAGCAGCTAAGCAATGTTTAGCATTATAGGTTCATACGGATAAATTAAACCAAAACAAAAACATGCCTAGACAAACAAACCTCACAGCCCTCCATCTCAATCTTTATCAAGCAGAAGATGATATACAGAATGGTGGTAAGACTTGAGAAGAGTGCTTATGAGAGCAGGGGCAGAGGGAGGAAGCAATGCCACAAGGATTATTTCCAAATCATCATCCTTTCCTTCTTGTAATCCATTAATACATACCCCTCACATAATAGTTTCTTGGCTCGTGACTCTTATGTACAAGACTGACAAATTACATGCCATGGAGAAATACAGGATAGAAAGCATAAACAAAACAGCTCCTCACAAGTAAGTGAAGAGGATATGAAGAACAACTGCAGTTTGTCACCTGTGTGCTTTTCCTCTCCATTTGTAGGTCTGTGCTGAGTCCGGATTAATCTTGATGGCTCTGTCACAGTCTCTAATGGCGGCATTTGGCTTCTGTAGTTTCACAAAAACACTGTGGGAATGAGAACATTTACTGTGTATATTCAAATACCAAGTTACTAACTTAAGCTGGAAACAATTTTAGGTGCCTAACAGGCAAGCGAGTCAAAGATGCATTTGAAGAGCTGAATTTGAGATTTTGTTGTGATGAGCAATGTTACCAAAATTTACTGTTTTTCCCCCAGTAGGTGAATCATTGGCCAGAAGTCCAGATTAACACTTTAGCCTCACCAGCAAGAGCAACTTTGGTGCATTAGAAGAGGATAAATAAATGCAAAGGAGTTCAATTTCATGGTCTATGCACTCTCTAACAAAYGGTGATGAACCAGCTGAACAAAATACAGATAACAATACGTATTCCCTATTACAAAGTCTTCAAAACATCAACCACAAAAAAGAAATCAAGCATAAACCTTCATACATGTTACAAGGATTGATGATTAGAACCATCAGGAACTGCAAGAGCACATCTGTTTTTAAGTTGTCTGTACAGAAAAAGAGCAACTGCTTAATCACCCAGTCTAATAAGCCATAAAAATGAATTCCTCTCATTTAAGCTGCTCACCCTAAAGTCTCTCACGGCCTATTTACTGCCTTCCTTCTAACGCCTCTCTCCTACTCATCCCACAAATTTCCACAATATCCTTTTTCTTCTGATCTTGCAGCTTGCTCAATGCACAGAAGACAACATACATAAATCAAAGATCAGCAATCAAGGAAGAAACGAAAATATGACACTGCTGTGCCACTGTATAAATCTGCAACGAGACTCAGCCTGAATACTGTGTGAAATCTTAGTCCCATCCTTTCATCTCAGTTAAGCAGAAATGAGAACTGTCCCAAGAAAAGCAATAAAATATCAGCTACTAGTTTTAAGGGCGYGCTTGCAAATTAATGATTAGCTCCAATCCTCATAGTATTTGCTTAAAGCACTGGCTTTGTTCTTAATTGCCATTCTCAATAACAAATGCCTCAACAGCATGTGGCACCACGGTTTAGAGAAGGTAGCCCTGTTCCCTTCCCAGTTAAGGGAAGTAATTCCAAGTTTTATAATATCTGAGTAAATCCAATCAGCTATTAGGGGAAAAAATGCTTAGGATGTTGGGATTTTTGGCACAATCATCTCMTGTTGAAGCCTCAGGAAGCCCTAGAAAGCATTCCTCAATTGACAAAGTACTCAAATTTCAAAAATCCACAAGATGCACTACACTCTACACAAGTTAGAACTTCTGTCCTGCTACATCTACTTGAAATAAAGGTAGTCTAACTATTGATACATTAAAATTTATTTCATCACTAAAGCTACTTGAAGAAGCATATATTCATATCTTTCCTTCTAGAAATAAATAGGTGAACAATATGTCAAAAAGATATTCTGTATCCATGGAGAGAATTCACATGGAACAATTAACTTTGCCTACACTAGACACGATTTCAATTATCACCTTAATCCTATAAGGATCTTTACCTGCTTCCAGTGTTTGTTATTTAGCATCTTTCTAATTCAACATACCAAAGATATTAATTACTGCAATGCATTTCAGAATATACTTCAACAATTAAAATTCTTAGGTGGTTTCTTCAACAAATCTAGTTCATAGTACTGCTTTTACATGCAATTAAGTGTACTTCCCTCTTTCCCTAATCTGATTTAACTGTATATACAGCCTCAACCTTCCACTATGTTTTAGCTTTTCAAGGGCAGTTACAGAGCAAGAAGAAACATAAATCACTAGTTCATAATGACTCACCTTGCCCTCTTGGCATAGAGGATGGCCAAACAAGGATTCAGCTTGATGGCTTCAGTGAACAAGTCGACAGCCTTCTGAAGTTCACCTGAACAGGAACACCAGTAAAAATTCAGTCATTACACCATGAAGTTAAATACAGACTGCCAAACCAACCCTGCAGGGTGTTATAACTATAGATAATGCTCTGTTTAAGAAACACTGATATAAGCAAATTCAAAATTTTTTCTTCTAAAATGACTAGAACTGAAATGCAAACACAAACCCCAGAATTACTGCCTRGAAGGAAACAAGCAAGCAACTTCTTTCTAGCTAAATTTGAGCATTTGACTCTGCACTCAGTCAAGCAGAAAGYACCTCTTTACAAAGCTTTCTACCAAGTTAAGACAAATTAATAAAAACCCTAAATCAAAACATGCAGAGAAATCCTGCAACAGACACAGTATTCAAAATTCAACAGAAATATCGTATTCCAGCAACAAAGTTTTCCCTAACCACAGGGTAGTGGGCTTTCTCCTACTAGGAAAGATTCACAAGGTCCAGAAAGGCATTTACTACTGCTTTTTAAAAGTCACACACATACACACACACACACTCATAAATAAATAAATCAGTCACCTTCACCCAGAGCATTTATAGCCTCCATCTTCTTCTCATTAGCTTGATCCATCATCTCTTCAGTTACCTAAAAAACAAACCAACCCCAAAGCTAAAGTCCCAGCCAGAAGTACCACGTTGAGACAACGTCAAAGAAGGAAGCTCCAGTTTCCTGACTCCATTTTTTAGAAATCATTATTGAAAAACATAGTTCAAAAAATATATTTTTTATGCTTTCACTATACACCTACTTTTCTCTGATGTTTTAATAATTTTGGTGATTTTCTAAACTGATTTTTCCACRCAGAACTCTGATAGATTCGATCTCTGAAGAAGGAAAAGAACTCAGTTCCTTTTTGTTATTTTTCTGGTTATTTTTCTGCTTGGGTGAAGAAGAGAGAAAGCAATGACTGCCTACCTAGACGATGTAGTCTTATTCCTCCTCTCCYTCCCTCAGCCCTTGTTACTATTTTTGACCTGGTTGAAAATCTCTTTCTCCCTTTTCCCTACTACCCCAGCCACTGGAACTACTGCACTTACCTCCACATTTTCATCTCCCATTTCCTGAGGGTCATCATTGTCAGGTTCAATCACACCCTCGTTATCAATTTCTGGGGAAAAATTAAAAGTAAAATTCAGTTCTATCCACAGACAGAGAGGGGATGTTTAGAATCATGTTCAAGTTGGTGTACTGTGGTAACAGTATTTATCTTCCACACCTAAGTCACTCTCTTCACTTTCTGGTTCCGGTGATTTAACTGGTTCCTCTGGCTGTTCTTCTGCTTTGCCCTGAAAAAGAAAGATATAAACTTCCATTATTTCTGACTGATGACTCTATTCCCACTTCAAGAAGTAACAATGCATCAGAAAAATTCAACATGTACCTTCAAAGTAGACAATTGCTCTCTAAGATACCTATATCCCCTTTCCTCTATCTGAGCTTAAGCCTATCAATCATGAAAATAATTTTGAGCCCAAATCTTGATGTGTGACGTTGACCCAATTTAACGACCAAAATAAAATGATCCAGATAACACCCAATTCAGCAGTCTTGCAATGCATAYTAACGGGCTCTTCCAATATTTCTATCCTCTCTGACATATTCTCTGCATCCAAAACTCTCTCCATCTAATCCCATTAAGCTAGAGTCTTTAGCAGTGAGCAGGTCCCAGTGATTACAATGYTGTCTGCATTTGCCAAGGCCAGATGTTCCGTGCCACTTACTTAGAATGCCTCTTCAGATGCTTTCCAACTGATTTCTAGCCATGTTACTACTCTCCTCTGAATCCTCTCACTTAATACCGCCTCCTTTCCCACAGACAAACTATTTGACTTACAGTCGGTGTCACAATTTATAATTCCTATACATACATTTCCTCAAACAGTTCTAACTAGCCAGCAACTCCAGCATCCTCTGTCCTGTTAAAACTCCAAACAAGAAGTTCTCTTCTTTTTTCCCCAAGTAGGATTTAAATCTTGGGAGAAATCTCTCAAATATCTACATGTCCACTTGATTATCCTCCTTTAGAAACAAAAGATACTCATTTCAAAACACATTCCAAAAACCACGTTCCCCACAACTCCAGCTTCAAAACCTAAGAGTTGTTCTCTTCATTACCTGTCCTGCTGGCTAGTATTTCTTGTCACACGCAGGTTATAACTTGCACTCCTAATGGCTACAGAAAAGGTGCACACAAAGACAAGCAARCACACAAAAATGAAGGTTTTTTTGCCCAGCGCTTACACTGCAGAGAACATCTGACATCCTGGATTAGGGAAATGGAGCATGATCGCTCCTGAAACACCCTGGAATGCYTGAATCTATAACAAGGCCCCACATACATCATACAACAGGCAGGCTGCCGTCTTTGAACTGTCACAATCTAGTACCCCATTCACCCTCACATACATCCACCCCTCCTACTTGAAGGAGAGAAACCAAAATTGCTGTCAGCTTTCATCCCTCTCCAATAATTCTGCATGAAGACCAAACATTAGTTTTCAATGGCAGGTTTTCCATGTCTCACCTTACTTGTCTCCTCTGCAGAGGCATTGGCTGGAGCAGGCGGTATCGTGCCTCCCATGCTTTACAGCAAAACAGAGAGAAAAAAGTATTACCAAAACACAGTCAACAGCATCAGAGAACGGTTGAGGTTGGAAGGGAGCTCTAGAGATCTCATGTCCTTTAGATRTTCACATCCTACTGACAATCGTGGGTTTCAGTTGCGGCAGAAAAACATCATGATGCAATTCACTGTAAAAGCAGTCACAGAACCTCTCATCCACTGTGCTTGTCTCCGCAGACATAACACACACTTGGCTCCTTCACCTGGACCTTGGGCTCTCTCACACGTCTCCCACCCATCCTGTCTCCAAGCACAAGCTGCCTCCTTGGCTGAAATCTTTTGCTCCTTTAAAACAGAACTTCTGGTTCAAAACCAAAGTAGATGTCTTTTTTTTTTTTTTTTTCCCTCCAACTCCAGAAGTAATTATTTCTTATTGGCTTGGAACACGTGTCCAATAAATTAAGAGAAACACGAACGCCTAAAAGTAGCCAATTATCCTGGTATGTTCCTTGYATGAAACAATTATACAATTAAAAATAATTGCTGGCTATGAAAATAATTCCATTCTTTCTGTGTACTGCAATATTTATGCCTTTACTTAGCTCCAAGTTAAGAGGTATTCTTTTTCCAGAAGCATTCCTTCAATACAGGATAAACTTCTGTATTACAAAGACTTTGGTCAGCAGCCAGCACTAAGCACAGGCTAAACTCCTTGGCTCCGTTTCATTTACCATCTAATCCTATCTGATGGCAGTCTGCCACAAAGACGACCATCCCTATCCATCTTATGCCCTGCTCCCACTCTCCCTCCTCTTTCCTGACACTAGCAGGACCTCAAAGCCAGGCCCTAAACTGGCTGAAAACCTGGAACGGGGAAACAGAGGGGTAAGACTGACAGGACACAGCACTGCAAAAGGGAAAAAGGATGCTGCAACCAAAGGCAGGAGAGCAAAAAAAAAGGCATTTTCTGATGTTACTGCAAAATAGCTTCTCCACGTGCCACTGGTACACTCATGTTGCTTAACCCATGCTGTTACTGATGCCGTAATATAAATTCAAGACTTTTCATCCTAGCTCTCCTAACAACTAGTGCAAGGAAAGTCAGAGGCAACAGCTGAAAGAACAGCAGCATAGGGCAGGAGGAGTTGAGCCTAGGACAGCTGCTCCTCTGCATATCTGAGGAGAACTACAATTATTCAGGGATTTTTAACAGTGTTAATAGCTAATATTCAGGTGAGCCCAACACTCTGAAATTATGATATATTTATCTGTCTAAGGCTTSCTGAAAAATACAGTAACTTAACTTTAAAATAACAATACTTTTTCAAAGTCACGCTTACTTACTAGGTCTACTGCAAAAAGATGAGAACCTTCCAATTCTAAAAAGGTCAAAAATCAATTCACATATTTAAAGATAGCTCAAGCTAAAAAGGCAGGATTAAAACTCCAAAGCAAATCCAAGTTACCGGTCTCAGTATCAGCTGTTTTTAAGTCTGAAACCTTGAACCATCTCAAGGTTGGAACAACTTGATTAACCTTTTCTGCCCTCTTTACCTCTCCACATCCCATAGACCATTTTACCAATTCTTTTATAAGACTGTAGCTATGAGATTCAACTGGTATTTATGCACTTCCAAATACAGTATTCCTCTAACTGCTTTCACAGATACAATTTTATTCCCAAYCCTTAAAGATATTTTTACAAACCAGTTATCACCTGCTGAGTCTAGATTTGCAATTYCAGAACAATCCCAAAGCAAGTTATTCTTAAAATCATTCCTTAGAGCAGTGTTTGATTACAGGGATTAAATGTGCTGCAAAGATATGCAAAATTTGCTATGTATTTAACTTCAATAGCTATGCTCATAGCATATGAGTTACTCTTGTATGAGAACTCAAGTTACTGAGCTGTATTAATAACACACAAAAGAAACATTTTAAATAAGGCTCTGTGCTGAAACCTGCTGAGAGAGCTGGGCAGTGCAGATGGTTACACTTAGAAGTTATCAGGACTGCACTGTAGTAACAACTCCACAGTTCCACTGATTAGTGATGCAGACCGCTGCTTTTCTGACTTTTTAGAACTGCAATCATCATTTCTGCATCCGTTTTCCTCCCTTCCACCTAAGGTATCTTTACARATGAACCAGTTGATGGTAAATTCAAAAGCTCAAAATTGTCCTGAAAAAACAACAACAAGGCAGCAAACCCTTTTTATGAATTGAGTTTGTGCCTTTTAAAGGCTGTTTTTGTTTTCTCTGCTCAACTGCAGGCTTTTGAAACACAGCTCCTTTCTCAATGATTCATATTAAAATATTTATATATTTATGCAGTCATGAAAGAAACAAGCTCGTATAAATGAGATGTCAAAACTCTTTTCAATACAGAGTCGTATTTYCTTTACAAGTATCTAGAGAAAAGTGAAACCTATCAGCTATACAGACAGATAACAAATATGTGAAAACATGAAAGAAGACTTAAGATGTCTGACGCAATGTTAACACTGAGTCAGAAATCAAGCACCACACTCAGGCATCCCAAGAAACTAGCGTCCTTCGCAGCTTTAAGAAAAGGTCAGACCAATTATTAGACTTCCAAGCGAAAAATTTCATGATAGATTTCAGTATAATTCAGTCATTTCTGTGTAATCACTTGCAACATTATCCCCATGACCAAACCTAAATCTTTTAGATTCATACAAGCTGAACAAAGTTAACACTAAAACTTACCAAATTGCACACTTCAAAAACCCCAGATTTATACTTCTATTACACACCATAAAATACACACCTCGGTATTAAGCAAGCCTAAACACCAAAACCAAACCTGCAAGCCTGAGCCTTCCACATTAACAGRGGAAATTGGAAATCAGAGGCTCACTCTCCCTAGGACTTTTTCCAGYCATAAGAAGTTACCCTGTTCAATACTCTGTTCACACCTTTGGAATTACACAAGGGAAAAGATAGCAGCAAGTTTGGGCAAAGTGGCCGAGGTCTTTTATACACCAGCAGAAGGACCATGGGCAAAACACACACGTTTTTCCTTCCCGGGAGCACAYGCAGAGACAACCCTGGCTGCAGAAGCAAGCGAAGTAAAATCGGAGCGTTYGCACGATCCCGTGAGCATCCAGGTGGCTAAAGACGTTTAAACGTTGGTTTATAAAAAAAGCCAATAGCTCAAAGCAATTTCCATTGTAGGGAATACAGTTAAGCACCAGGACTTACTCAAAATAAAAAGAAAATGCAGCCCTACAAGTTTTCCAACTAGTTATAGTAAGACAGTCAATTTTAAAGGAAAAAAAAAAAGTAAATTCGACACCAAATGAAAGCGGAGAGGCTATAAAAGCTTAAGTGGAAAACGTGCACGGCTTTTCCTCGCTGCTCCAGCAGGGATGTGCCTGGGAGGGCCGGCCTGTTCCCTGGCGGAGCACACAGGTCCCGCGGGGACTCCACACGTAGCAGACTCCAACTCTTCCAGCGGGCCCTGTGGGGAATCTTAGGGCAGGGAACAGGGCCCTTTTTTTAAAAAAAAAAAAAAAGTTTTTTTTTCCGCCTACTGAGGATTTTCCACGAGGGGCTTCGAACGTGCAACAACCAAGTTAAGTCTAGGGCCTTAGGCAGCACACGTGCGAAATGCCCCACGAGAGTGCGGGGGGGGGGGGGGTTGGTGATCTGTAACGAGAGGCGTGAGCTTCGGAAAAACAATTAAATAAATGAATAAATACAAGTGTTTGCAGCGCCCCTCCTCCCCCCTCCACAGCCACGCGGCGGCCCCGCCCCCTCCCCCACCGCGTCCCGCGCGAGACCACCCACCCCAACGGCCGCCGCTCCCCCCCCCGCCCCGGGGCCGCGCGCGGGCGGCGGGCCCGCGACCCACCTCTCCACCCACTCGCGCAGGAAGGCCAGCTCCTCGGTGTGCAGCAGGCCCGGGTTCTGCTTGCAGAGGCGCACGAACGCCCGCAGCTCGCTCAGCTTGCGCGCGTCCATGGCGGAACGGCGGGGAGGCGGCGGCAACAGCAGCACCCGCGCGCGCCCGCTCCCCTTCCCGACCGCCGCGCGGCGCCGTGGAAGTTTCCAGCCCGCGCGACGCGACGCGGCGCGACGCGACGTGACGCGGGCCCACGCCCCCCGCCCTGGCCACGCCCGCGCGGCCACGCCCCTGCCCGCCGCCCCCTCCCCCGCCTTTCCCCCCGCCCCGCGGCCGCCGCGGAGGGAAGTTTCTGGAAGCGGAGGTGGCCGTTAACGGCCGCCCGCCGCGGCTCTGGCCGCCCTCCCTGCCGGGCACACGCGCAGCGCGGGGCAGGCGGGCAGCGCGGCCACCTAAGGCCGCTCATTGGCGGCGGCAGGGAGGGACGGAGGGCGGGCGGGCGGGGAGGCGCCGGCCGATGGCGTCAGGCGCCGGCGGCGGAAGGCACCGCGGCAGGGGGGTCGGTGGGCGCCATGTGGCTCGTCCCGGCGGTGAGGGGCCGGCGCCGCTTGCCAGGTCAGACCCTTTCGCTCCGCGCTCGCGTCGCCTCGGCGCCGCCGGAGCCGGGCGCGGAGCGCTGCCGCCGTGCGGAGCCCCGCGGCCCGGCTCGCTCGCGGCCCCGGCCCTGGATAAGGCTGAGGCCAGAGTGACTGTTTGAAAAATACCACTGATAAAGTGACGACTTGGAAGGCATCCCACTGTGTTCAACCCCCCCCCCCCCCCCTATTCAATGCCAGCGTGTGTTCTGGCAGGATGTACCTAAAATTCGGGATGTCCCCCCTTTAGGTAGGTGGACACAGTGARAACTGGCTCCACTCAGACCGCACCAGAGGTGGTAATTAAACATCAGCACTTGCATTTCCTCATTTAAGCCCGTCAGACATCACCTGCTGAAACAGATGGTGTGTTTTAAGCTATGACAGCCGCTTATCCTGCGTAAGCAATCTGTGCTTAGTCGATGGTCATGTTGGTTCCCTCAGAAAATCCAGTCTGTGCGTGTGCATCTGCGTCCCAGGTTCCCGAAAGGTGGGCAGCTGTTTGGCCTGTGTCCATGTGCTACAGCTTTATGTTTTCCTGTGCCTTCAAAGARGTGAATATCGCTTCTCCTGAGAATTCAGTACTGTGCCAATGCAGCAGTAATTGCCGTGTGCCCACCATAAATTGAAGTGACATAAAAGATGATGAGTCTCCAAAACATCAGCTCTTAGATGCTAGGAAGCTGGTTAACATCTTCCTCCATGTGTTTGGTAGTTTGTGTGTGGACACAAGCAGTACTTAAGTTGAAAGCGTGGCTGAGAAATCCCAAGTTGGGAAGCTTTGTGAGGGCCAACAGACACATATTTAATGGTATTTAATTTTATTTTATGGCGCCCTCCTTGAGCACCTTGTCAATTCTTGTGCAAAACTGCTTTGGCATGTAGCTGGTTTGTGGGATTGGAAATGGGGTATGTGACTGCTCCCAGGGAATTGTTTCCAGTTTGGCTAAGGTTTCTGCCAAAAAAGCTAGATGYGCAACAAAATGAGAAATCTTGAGCGTCTTCCTTCCAAAAAAAAATTCATGTTGCTGTAAAAGTGATGGTATTTGATGGCTTCTTTGTGGCATTTTTGGATGTTTTTAATTTTTTTTATGGGAAGGCTTTAAACACTTTTTGTTAGTTGCCTGTGGAGGGTGTAATAAGACATGCTGATATGCAGGTGACTCGAGTGATCGTGGTGCTTCAGGCCCTGCCATGTCTGAGGGAAGCAAGGGAGAGCTCTCTGGTCTTCCTTGCTGGTCTGTCAGTGTTAAAGTATGTTGATTTCTTTTCTCTATTTTACAGATATTTGATCATTAACTGAATTACATACAATGAGCAAATGAACATGCAACAAGCTGAAAAATTAAGAAGAAATGYTGTGATAGAGGTTGAATAAATGCTATTAGGAGGCAGATGAATGTGGTATAGATCTAGGATTTGGTATTTGGAAACGTCTTTTACCTTGACATGATGATTTTCTTTTCCTCTAGTCTGCAAGTCATGGGCTCTCCGTCGATTTTCCCTCCAGCCTGTCCAGCAGAAGAAGATCCCAAACCGGTACTTGGGTCAGCCCAGCCCCTTCACACACCCGCACCTTCTCAAACCAGGTTAGGTTTCAGTCTTTGGTATCTTTCTTTCTTCTTTCGGGAATATTGTCTAGGACAGGCTATTGATTKGCAGCATGGCCAAGGTGTCTATGATTTCATCTGGTTATGATTGCCTTTATTAGATTGTAACTATATTTAGTAGTTACTTGCCCTGTCAGAGGTGATACTGATTCCAAAAACAGGCTTGCATGTTGGCTTTTTACCCTCCCTCTTCCCAAGGRGGGTTCTGTGCCACTGATTAAAATACTACAGATGTTTTGAGGCAGTGGCATCTTGTAAGCTAATTGTCCTGCAAGCACAGTATCGTTTATATTAGCAAAGACTCTTCTGCATAAGTTGAACTGCCCGAGTGCTTCATGTACATCTCGTGAGTCAGAAAGGTGCAATTCAGAAAAAAAAAAA